TCCCCAGCCAGCCATGCTGGCTGGGGAATTCTGGGAGTTGAAGTCCAAACATCTTAAAGTTGCCAAGGCTGAGAAACAAATCCACCGTTGTGTGATCTGAAACAAAGTTGTATTCCCGGATCAATACATTTTAAAAGACTGGATGCGATTGGAGATGGGGGTATATTTGATAAGGGGCATTCAGTTTTTAGAAACCAAACTTAAAAAAAAAAAAATCTAGAGGATTCCCGGAGGAATTCAATAATCTTGAGTCTTTCATCCTACGTAAAAATATGGAGAGAATGCCTCTTGAGAAGAAGTACAGAGGAAGAGATATTAGTGCCTCTTTAAAAGAGGTTTTCCATCCAGTCTATTGGAAAAGAGAGAATGCTGCTTTTCCAGTGAAGCTGAGATGAGCCGTCAGCAGAAATAATATAAAAATAACCCTTCCTTCCTGAATAAGAGAGGAACACAAAGATTTCTTCCGAGATACGTTTTGCCTTGCAAATATATAAGGCTATTATTTGAGTCTTTCCCATTACACTTGCTTTTATCCAAATTGTACTCAAACAGCTCAAGATAGCATACGTCATTTTCCTCCATTTGGTTCCCCCCCCACAACAGCCCTGTGAGGTAGATTAGGCCAAGAGATTGTGACAGACCCAAGAATCACCTAGTGAAGTCCCCCAAGTAGGGGGGTGAGCCTAGGCTGGCGGTCCTTAGCCTTATTTTCCTGCTCTTGGAAAAGCTAAGCAAGTTTGGGTCTGTTGGGTTTGGACGGGAGACCACCAGGTAATGCCACGTCTGTAGACTTGAGTAGAAAGCTCAAGGATTGTTCCAGGAGACGGCAGAAGCAGTTCACTTCTGCACCGTTGCCACGAGAACGACGTGGGCACCTCCATAAAGTCACCAGGAGTTCCTCCAGCTGCAATCTGTCAGGTGTAGCTACTGTACCAGGCTGGTTCTTGGTCATGCAAAAATTTGCTCAGGAGGGTCCCATTTTGTTCTCGTTTAACCAACTTGCCCTTCTGTTCTTCTAGAAGGCAGGGCCAGTGTGCCCCTTGGCAAAGGTAGATACTTGAAAAGTGCTTTCGAAATGAAGCGCGCCAATGTTCAGCTGTGCGAAAACTACTTTTGAAAAAGTCCCCAGCGCTAGTAGGCAATTCTTGCAAACATTCCCAAGGGGGCAGCCTTTCCTATGGCAGTGAAGCCCCCCCCTTCTTCCCCTGTGCCCACCTCCCCAATTTCCCTCTTTCTTGCAGCCTGAAGTTGGAATGCGACAAGCTGGCCAGCGAAAAATCGGAGATGCAGCGCCATTACGTGATGGTAAGTTTCGCACTCGCGATAGACAGGTCCCGCAGAGAAAAGCTCCACATCCTGCAGGTGCCCCCCACCCTCCAGTTTGCCCCATAGAAAGGGGCAGGGGGAACCGCACTCTTGGTCCTGGTCCCCTGCAGGCCACAGCACGTGGAGGGTCTCCCCTTCCAATGCAAGGGATAGAGAGGTTGGAGAGCACCATGGGGGGGGGTCAAGGCCCCCATGGGCCAGATAGCCTCCCAGGAGGAATCAAACCTGTGAGCCAAAGACCCCCATTACAGCCTTAAGAGCAGCTCCGAATTGGCTTCTTGTTCTGGATTCCTCCCCATCAACCTGAGTCCATTTTTAATCCCTTTCTCGGATGTGGTTCATAACAGGAATTTGGCACCAAGATTTTCTCCCCAACTTTGCCTCCCGTTTTGCTTTGAAAGGGAAGAGAAAACGAGGTCACCCCTCTTTCGCTTGTCAATGGCAGGGAGAGGTTTTCCAGAGTTCTGCCTTTCCCCTTTTAATTAAATTTGGGGGGTTATTTCAGCCCCCCCGCCCCCTTCATCTGCTCCATTTGTCTTAATATCATTTTCATGACGTTGAGATCATGTTTCATATGTCCAGCTGGTTTTTTTAGTTCCTTAAGGCAGTGTTTCTCAACCTCTACAACTGAAAGATGTGTGGACTTCAACTCCCAGAATGCCTCAGCCAGCATTTGTGGACTTCACCTCCCAGAACTGGAGCATTCTGGGAGCTGAAGTCCACAAATGCTGGCTGGGGAATTCTGGGAATTGAAATCCACACATCTTAAAGTTACTGAGATTGAGAAACGTTGCCTTAAGAAATGACTTCTGGGGGGGGGCTCTTTAAGCACCATCTAAAGTACATTTTGGAAGGCTTCAAAAAGCTCTTTTTAAGGGATTACAGTGTTTGTCAGGAAGAAGCAATGGATGAAGGTGTGTGGCAGTCGCTGGGGTTGGGGTAAACCATGGTTTGACATTCCTTGCTGAATGAGCTGGTTGCCATTTAGATCCTAGGCAAGTTGACGGGCCACAAGTTTTGTTATCCAGCCTGGGAATTTAAAGAAATACCCAGGAGGAAGACAATAGCAACTTCCTTTTTGAGTCAAAGAAAACTGGATGGACGTCTCTGTTTAGTCCAGCGGGAGCCAAGCTTGAGGAGAGGGAATCTTTCCCATTTTGTTTTTTCAACTTGAGGACTAGAAACTTAAGGAGGCGCTGGAGAGACCCAGAGAGCGAGAACAAGGATTCTGCTGCCAGGTGGAATCAACTCCTTTTGTGTCGTCTGTTCCGCCTCCCTCACCTTTGCAGAAGGGACCGACCATTTGCATAAGTCACGCAGGACGCCGCGGCACGAGGCTTGGCTCGTTTTTTATTTTTATTTTTTTTTTAGCTTTTAAATCAGCCCCGTGCGCTGCCGCCCTGACACAGTTAGCTGGTTCTCCTTGACGCGCCTGCTTGGAGGCGGCCAGCTGCGCGGGTTGCGGCTGCCAAGATTCAAGGTGATGGATTTTTATTTTCCACCATCAAGGCGTTGTCGTTAGCATTGATTGAAATGAGTTCTCAGGCCCTCCAGAAAAAGACAGCCGCACCTTCCCTGGAGCGGAGAGATAAGGGCCGCGGAATGACTGCTTTGTATTTCCCAGGAAATTCAATTAAAAAAAGGAGAAAAAAACACAAGCTGGAAGAGGACAGCTTTGCCCTGTCCTCCGGGGTAAGCGAGGTGGCGTAAGCACACGCTGTCCTTGCGTGAGAGTCGAGAAAAGCCGCAAAACTCAGGGGACGTTGCAGAACCACATCTTGCTCCTGCGGCTTCCGTTTAGACAGCAGAACGGCCATTGGCCAAACCCCCTGCCTTGCCAAGTTCCTAGTCCTTAACGCTGAGCGTCTGCATTCTACGTAGCCCTGCAAGATCCATTATGCAGAACAGAAGACTGAACTGGGTTTGTTTTTTCCCCTTCCTCAGATAATTCCTGAGGCCCCAAATCAGCTCTTGGCAACTGAAATAAATGGGCACGGTCCATGTTTCTGAGACTTTTTGCTCTCAGGACCCCTTCCCACTTTTAAAAATTGCAGAGGGCCCCAAAAGAGTTTTTGTTTGCATGGGTGAGGTTTATCAATATTTACCACGTTAAAAATGAAAATCAAAGCATTGGTAGAATATTTATTTATGGAATCTGGTAAAAATAACACTATTCAACCCATTCGATATTAGCATCAATAAAATATTTTTCATGAAAAAACCCTGTTTTTTTTAAACAAATAAAAAATAGCAATGAGAAGAGTGACCTTGTTTTATGTTTTTGCAAATGTCTTCAATATCTAGCAAATGATTTTGATTTTGCAGGCCCCCGAGAGGGTCTTGGGGGACCCCCAGGGGTCCTCAGACTACACTTTAAGAAACACTGTTCTAGTGATCTGGCATGAGATTTTGGAACTTCTCCGTGTGACACTTAGCCATATAGGTTTTGATCACCTGTTGTAGGTTTTTTCCTGCTTAAATATGTAGGTTGCACAAGGAACCTTTTTAATGAAAAACGGTGAAAATGGTTCCCAGTAAATAAATGGGCACAAGCACAATTTTGGGGGGAGGAGAGATTTTTTTTAATGCATTGAGTTATTTTTAGGTTTGCTTTGGAAGGCAGGGAACGGCTCGTGATCAAACCGAGTTCATCCTGGTTGTGTCTAAAATCGTGGCTTGGCCTTAGCTTGGTTGGAAGAGTTTTGGCGTGGTCTGAGTTCGCTGCAGTCGAACCTTAATTCCGTGTGAAGGATGCCAAGCGGGGGGAACGGAATTGCCTGCTGTTAAGCAAAAGCTGGTGGTGGGTGGGACCAAAGTTGATGTGGGCGGGGATAGAACCAGGATGGGTGGGGCCAGAATGGCTGTGGGTGGGGCCAAAATCAATGGGAGCATACCAGCAAATTTTTTCTTAGCTCATCCATTTTCTTTCTTTCTTTCTCATCTTTTTCCCCTTTCTCCCCTTCCTTACCCTCTTTCACCCTGACACACTGTACAGTAAAGCTATTTAAATGATAATAATAATTTGCTGGCCACAGTGGGGAGCTTTGAGTCAAGTCCTGTACCAGGAAGGAATGTTGTGGGCATGGCCAAGTTGCAGGCGCGTGGGAAGGGCGAGGAGTGTATTAACTTCCAGGCTGTTGCCCTTCCAAAAATGAAAATGTGTTTTTGTTTTCTATGCTTAGAAGCATAGAATTGTAGAGTAGAAAGGGGTCCCCAAGGGTCATCTAGTCCCGCCCTTTGCAGTGGGCAGGAAAAGCGGTCAGGGTCAGATTTGTGGAGTGGGAAGGGACCCCAAGGGTCATCTAGTCCTGGCCTTTGCAGTGGGCAGGAAAAGCGGTCAGGGTCAGATTTGTGGAGTGGGAAGGGACCCCAAAGGTCATCTAGTCCCGCCCTTTGCAGTGGGCAGGAAAAGCGGTCAGGGTCAGATTTGTGG